TTATTTTTCGTTAATTTTTTTAGATTTCCCCCCCTTTTTTCCTTTTTTTTCTTTTATTAATCAACGTTTTCTAATATCTTTTTAATATTTTTTATAATGTTTTTTAAATTTAAATTATTTTCCTTTGGAAAAAATAATTAACATATACTACATTTGTACATCTCAAACCAAACAAATTTTTTCTTTCGCATATTTTTATTTTTTATCATGAATTTTCTTTTTGAACTTACCAAAAAAATTATTCTAGATTTTTTTAATTTCAAACACAAATAATTTTAAATTTTTTAAAATATTATAAAAAATTGAAAAGTAATTTAAAAACCTTTTCTAGAAAAAAACGTATAGATAAAAAAAGAATTAAAGTTAAACAAAAACTAAAAAATGAGCACGAGTGCCCTTGTGGTTTAGAAAATAGGCACCTGTGCCCTCTCTTCGCCGGAAAATGACCGAAAAATGATCGCAACGGGTGTGGGTGCAATATTTTGAAACCACGGAGACTTTAGAAATAAGTTTTGAAAACAGAGAGAATATTGATGCCAATTTTTCAAACCACAGAGAACACTAAAACCGTTGTGCGAAAGGACGCGCGTTTTTGACGAGATACACGACCGGCTTCATCCCTTCTGCGGCTTTATAAAATCTGCTAATCTTTCGTCGCTAAGTATATAGTTTGAAAATTCACAACACATTCATACTTCTTCTTGATAACCTTACGTTTTATCCGATCGAATTTTGAATTGAACTCCAAAAATATTCAATCTGAAATTGTTATACATGACTATCAATTTATCCGTGGTATCTTCTTTATCCCCAACCTATAAAAAAACACATACTTAATCTGTCTCAAATTAAACAATTGTTTGCGACTCCCAACACGGTTATCATCAATCAGTCCAATTGATTTTGGATCTGATTTCGTTTCATCTTTTTGCTTCTTTCTACCAATTTCATATCCAAATTCGGTTAAGATTTGTGCTCCATCACTAATTTTGGTTTCACAAACTTTTCCTGCCCATTGTTGGGGTTGATTTATGCAATCTCTTCTTCTTCTACTTCTTTACCTTCATGCACGTTGGTGTTTCTTCTTTGTTTCCCTCGGCATCATCCCCTCTCTTGTCTTGTGTTTTGTTTTGTGGTCTTTGCCCGTAGAAGGCTTCTATATTTGTCGGTTCGTTTTATTTGGTTTTTTGTGGTTCGGTTCGGATGGTTATTGTGTATTAAAAATACCCCAACAAATTTTCTCCTGTCCTAAGTGCACTAGAAAAACCCGTAAAGCTCCAGAGCTTCAAACCTTTTCTCTGCCACGTTAGCTTTACCTTACCTCACAGTTTCAGTGGAAATGGGTTTGAAGCCTTGGGGCTTCAAACTATGGCTTAAAACCTTCATTTTTACTTAAATATACATCTTCTAAAATTAAAATAATAAAATTTAATTATTTAATTATTTAAAAGAATCGAAAGGAGAATAGTCCATTAAAAAATTACATTAATTAAAAAAAATATTACATCCATAAAAAATTACATTCATTAAAAAAATATTACATCCATAAAAAATTACATTCATTAAAAAAATGTTACATCCATAAAAATATAGCACTACGAACAAATTACTGATTATTTGAGCGACTGAAGATATGTTATATAAAATCCCGCGTTAGTGCATTGTGAATTTCTTGGATTCAATTTTCTTGGCGGTTTCTTCGTTTCTTTTCTTCGTCGATTTCGTCGTACATAGAAACTTCATCGCCCGGGTTGTACTGACAAATCATAAACCCGTTGTCATCTACGATCATATCATGAAGAATAATACATGCGTACATAATACTCCTCATTTTTGTTTGAGAAAAACATTTGGACGGATGATCTAGAATGTGCCACTTAGCCTTCAAGACCCTGAAGGCTCATTCAATATCTTTTTCTTGCCGCCTCATGAGCTTTTTTGTAGGTCTTGCGTTTAAGACGCATTGGTTCAGAGAAGGACTTGAAACCCGTGGAATAATCTGGATATATTCCATCGGTTAAATAATATCCACGCTTGTAAAGCGACCCTCTAAGCTCAAAAGACAAGTCAATGCAAGTGCAGTCTCATTAATCTAATTGTCAAAAATAGGCGATTGATCGAGAATGTTGATGTCATTGTTCGAGCCCAGGACACCGAAAATAGCGTGCCAAAACCATAAGTCATTTGAACCAACAAATTCGAGCATGATATGAGGCTTGGAATGATCTCCCCGGAGAAGTGAGCATGCCACGCAGTGGGATAATTTTTCCATTCCCAATACATGCAATCAATGCTCCCAAGCATGCTGACAAAGCCGTATTTAGCGGCATGCCTTGCTTGTAACTGCTGAATGTCGCTCGCTGTAGGCTTATGTAAATATCTTTTATGATAAATTCGAATAACAACTTTAGAAAATTTATAAACATAGGACTTGATGCTCCGACTTGACATCTTCAAGTATTCATCAAACATATCAGATGTCATCCCGTACGCCATCTGACAAGCGCGGCAGTGCACTTCTGGGTACTGCTATACCCGCGTCGCCCTATCGCATCAAATCTTTGGGTGAACTAAGGCACGTCTCGTTCAATATCGGTGAGTATGCGTAAAAAGAGAAGACGACTCATCCAAAAATAATTACTAAAATCTTCCGGTGTATAAACACATTGAGTATTGAAGTAGTCATTGAAAAGTGAAGCCTGGGTAGCCGCTCGATCCCAGATTAAACGTTGTCGTCGGGTCTGAATTCAGTAGGATTCTGCTTCTTCTTCTTCGCCTCGTTGCCACCAGTGATAACAACTTGAGGCGAAACCGCAAAAATTAGAGCCCTCTTTTCATCATCAGATGAAGATGATCCATTTTTAGAATACTTTGTAGAAATAAATATAATAAATAGAAAAATATTTGAAATAATATTTGATAAAATCATAGAGAGAAGATAGAGAGAGATGTGTGAGAGATAGGTTTGTTTTGATTGAATTTATAGGTTTTTTTTAAATTTATTTTTTTGGTGGGTAACAACTCTTTTAGTCGTTGGGAGTGGTGGGGAAGTGGGCTGCGCAATGTCAAAGTTTTGATGCTGGGGAACTGACGCCCCTTAACGCCGCCATGGGGGCGGTGTTTAACCCCCGTTGGGCGTCAAACCCCGGTTGACGCCGGGGGGCCTCAGCTCATCCCCATTTCCACTACTCTAAGGTGATATGGTGTGCTCCATGCTTTTCGCTTTTCCCTTTCGCCAACTCAACGACACGTCAACTTCAGTTTTCTATTTCCCTTCTAGGGAAATGCCTTCCCTTTTTTCCTTCAATTTTTAGTATTATTTTTAACACTTATTTTAAAGAGTAAATTCCATAAAAGGTCCCCAATTATAGGTCGTTTTGCATATTTAGTCCCTACATATCAAATTTTACTAATTTAGTCCCCAATTATTATATTCTTTTCCACGAATGGTCCTTTGTTAACATTTCCGTCAAGAACGTGGATAAAATTGTAAATTCACACTCTTTTCTCTCCTCAATTAAGCGTCCTCCCTTCTCTAACACTCCTTTCTCAAACCCGTCGCTGAGTTTGAAGCTTTGAACCCAAAACCAAAATCATCGCTCTTCTCTCAATTATTTGTCTAATTGGTGGAACCCAAATTCGAAACCAGTAACCTCTTGGGAAAGAGTACAAGAGCAAGGAGGAAGCTTAATTATGGAGAGAAAAGAGTGTGGATTTACAATTTTATCCAAGTTCTTAACGGAAATGTTAACAAAGGACCATTCGTGGAAATGAATATAATAATTGGGGACTAAATTAGTAATATTTGATATGTAGGGACTAAATATGTAAAACGACCTATAACTGGGGACCTTTTATGGAATTTACTCTATTTTAAATTAAATAATTAAACTAACAACATAAAAATAATACTCCCTCCGTCCCACTGTCTTTGTCCACTTACTTTTTGGCACACCATCCAATGCACTTCTTTAATCCATTTTATCTTGTAATTTGTATATTAAAAAATTATAGAAATTATATATTAATAATCTATATGTTAAGACGAATCAAACAAGATCACACATGACTATTTTTAGGCTTACACATTGAGAAAATTTGATGAGTCAAAGTGCTTACATGAACAGTTCTAAAAGTCAAATGTGGACAAAGACAGTGGGACGGAGGTAGTACTCCGTAACAATTACTCCAAACTATCATTTATTAAACTTAATAATTGAACATTTCATTAATAATTTGAAGTGATACGGAGTACATTATAAGTGATACATTAAATTTAAATGAAAAGAAAAAAAGACATTAAGAAACTTAGAAATTGTTGAAAAAATTTAAAAATAAAAGAACAAAACTGAAAAAAACAAAAATTAAAGAAAAGAAAAAATGCAAAAAAGGAGAAAACAAAAAAAAAACTAAAACAAAAAGGAATGGGAAAAAGACTGAAACAAAAAATAAAAAAACCCAAAAAAATCCCCGGAAAACGGATAGGGGATCCTGCCTTTCCCATTCCCGCGTAGGGGGAGACAAAGTTCCCCTTCCCCTCCCGTTGCCACCTCATCTTACCGCACACCCCTCCCGCGGTACACCCGTAAGCCTAAAACAAGACTCAAAATTGAATTTGTAGGAAGTTTTAAAAAGTTAAAATGTAGTGGTTTAAAGTGATGAAAGTAAAAAATATTCTTTTAGATTATCTAAAAATTGAATGAAAAGTCTTTTTTTTTCCTTGTAAAGAGACAAGCAAAGTGGAGCAAGTAATATAATGCACTTTGTGGTGGAAGTATGTGCAACACATTCTCCCTCATTCTTTTTTGTTTTTTTTTTTTAATTTTTTCTTTTTCTTTCCACAACCGTCTCCATCCCATAAAAGCAAAGCAAAGGTAGGGTGCATCTAAAAAAGCATATACTATCATCTACCACTACTCTACCCTTCGTCAACTCCATCCCTCCACTCCCCCTCACACGCACAAATACATATATACACCACACAACACATCAGAAAGAGATATAGAGAGAGATGTCTACAGCTTCCCAATGCACTCTCAACCAAATCTTGTTCCAAGATATCTCATCACACCACCACCACCAACAACAACAACTTGATTTTCTCTGTGTTTCTTCTTCTTCTTCACCATCATCAACCATTAACAATACTGCTTCTCCTGCTACGACTAATATTACCACTACCCTTCCATCTCATAGTAATAATAATAATAATAATAATAATAATAATATTCATCATCACCACCACCCAAGAGATAATAACGACCTCACTTCCCTCTTTTCTCTGCACAAATCCATTCCAAACATGTGGTAATATTAATTGTTTTGATTAATATTATATGGAGTATTAATTATTTCTAAGTATTGATATGAGTAGCTAGTTAGCTAGTAAACCAGTTGTTTATTTTTTAATGGGATTAAAAATACAATATATGGTCATAGGGAATGGGAAGAAGCGAATAATACTGAGAGAAGAAAAAGAAGAGGCGGCAGGGAAGATAGTAAGAAGATGATGATGAAGAAGAAGACAAGGAGGAAGGTGAGAGAGCCAAGGTTCAGCTTCAAGACTATGAGTGATGTTGATGTATTAGATGATGGTTATAAATGGAGAAAATATGGCCAAAAAGTTGTCAAGAACACCCACCATCCCAGGTTCATTCTTATTATTTAATTTCTGCTATTCTTTCTTCTTCTTAATTTTCTATCTAAATTACATTGAAATAAGCAATTTATAAGAAAATAAAACATATATCCTACTTCTCCCTTCTCCTAAATCATTTCAACTTTCACACCTCACTTGTCCCATAAAATATTTCAATTTGGGTTAAGCAGTTTTTACTTTTTTTAAACCTAATCAAACCTACCTCCTACATCCAACCTATTTTGATACTCCCTCCGTCCCTAAATAAACTTTCTCTTTCGTTTTTTCTGTCCCTAAATAAACTTCTCTTTTTCCTTAAAAACCCCTTTTACCCCTTATTTTTTCATATCATACCTATCACATCATACCTTTTTACTAATAATTTATATATCACATCTTACTTTTACACATCACTTCAAGGGTATTTTTGGAAAGTCAACACCAAAATATCCCTCCCTTGATTTTACAAAAAGTCAAAAAAGGAAGTTTATTTAGGGACGGAGGGAGTATTTCCCAAGCACTATTTTGGCATACTTCGTCAAACTTCAACATCTTCCTCTTCCAAAAGTCAAAACAGGAAATGTTTTATAAGTTGGAGGAAGTATGTTTTAACCCTTAAATACTAGCTTTGACAATGTCAAACACTCGCAATTTATCAGGCCTATGTGTTGATATTTTAACTATTAACGCTAAATGATTTAGAAATCATTCTAAATAGGATTAAAATATAGAAAAAAGTACTAAAGTAGTAGTTCCATATTTTTATTCCTTAAATAGTACTTCGGACTTTGGTAATATGACATTGTACATGTGCATATTACTATACTTTTTAGTAGTGTACATGACTTTGGTAATGTAAATACATTTTCACTCCTATTTTGAAAATAAAAACATAGAAATTTTATTTTGGTATATTTTTAATATTTTACTCCTTTTGTCTTTTTCTCTATTTTCGAACAGTGCTAATGTATTACCAAAGTCTCAATCCATAATTTTTTGGATTATTAGGGTTCTTTAACTATCGACAGCCCTTGAGGCTATTGTTACCAAAATCCAATTTTTGGATTTAGTTTAATACTCCGTAAATCTCAATCTTAAAAATACAAAACTAAATGGGAAAGACCATACTAGGACTAAAACATTGAGAATATACCAAAATAGGACTTCCATGTTTTTATTCCCGAAATATGACTTACATTACCAAACATGATCATATATATTACCAAAAAAGTATAGTAATTTGCACATGTACACTGCCACATTACCACAATACAAAGTCACATTACCACAATGCCAAGTCCTATTTTGGAAAAAAAACATGAAAGTCCTATTTTGGTACTTTTCTCTATGTTTTAGTCCTATTTAGAATGATTTCTAAAACTAAATCAGAATCTTTTGGCACTGGAAATGATTAAAGCTCGGAATATATAATGATATTGATATCGATTTATGTAAGACGCGTTTTAATTTTCTAATAATTATTGCAATCATCCTACTTCCTCTATAAATTATCATTCTCTTTTGAATTACTATACGATGGTTCACTAATTCATCTTAGTTCAATTTATTTAAAAGATGATAGGAAGAATAATATTTTAAAAGAAAATTATAAAACTAAAAACTAGATAAAGTATTCTTTAAAATAAGAGGTGATATTAATATATTATTTTAACATATGAAAAAAGAATATCATATTAACATATGACTACTAAAATTAAGGGATGGAAACAAATTATCTTTGAGTGGGAAAGGCTAGTCTTTAAAATACAATATTATTGATATGAATTTGAGTTCAAATGGAGTTGTGCTATCATGGTTTTAATGTTTTAAGTAGGGTAGGTCTTAAGAATTCTATGGTCTAGGCCGAGACAGAAAAAATGCCTGAAAAGTCTTATCCTTAATTAATGTCATAATGAATTGAAGTATGCAAATTAGTTATATTTAAAGGATAATTAACATAATAGTGTTATAACAATATGAGTCAATGACAAAATCATGGTAAAGAGTTTATGTATACTTACTTCTCCGAATCAATGATGTGAAAACTAAACCAAACATCAACTCGAACGAGCTAGTGGATCAAGGGTTAACTGGTTGATCCGGAGATCAACGACCCGATCAACTATAAGTAGAATAATAATATTTTATATTATATTAAAAGGGAGTCTAAAATGACACCAGTAATATTGGTGTCATTTTCTAACACCAGTTTATTTGGAGCACATATATATAGTGACCCGCTGGTAAAACTATTGGTTCCTACCCCAAATCTTCCTCCTAAACCCTCATCCCAGCCCCCACCCCAACCCCATCCCTACCCTTGCAGTATTGCCTGGCAGTATATAATTAGGGTAGGGACGGGGTAGGGAGTGAGCTAAGAGGGAGTTTATGGGTGAGGTTAGGGTGGGGTAAGAACCACTATTTTTTACCAATCATGCACTATAGGTTCTCCAAACAAAGTGATGTCATATATTATTGACACCCTCATTATATTATTAGTTAATTTTAATTAATAAAGTATTTTAATTTTTTTTTCTAGTTTTTAATATAAATTTGTATATGTTGATACACTTTCTGTTTTCTATTTGTATTATTTTTTTTGTTACTGTTAAAGGTAAAGAGTGAATATCTAATAAATTTTAAAATAGTAAGACAATATTCATATTTAAAAAATTAGAGTCTATAAATATAGTGCTCTATGTAACACTTTCAAATTTATTTAGTTGATTGAAACGAGAAAAACGTAGATGATAAAATTAATTTTTTGGTTATAAATATTTTGGCAACAATTTTTTGGCAATAATTTTTACTTATTTATTTTGAAAAAAAATAATTTTTTGGTTATAAATATTCATATTAAGTTTTAGAAAATACATAAATAATTTTTGTTAATTTATTTTTTTCCAACTATTTTTTAAGTTTATAAAATAAGTATACTAGATACTGATTATGTTGTTTTTTTCTTAATAATTGGAAGTTTTATTGAAATCCACACAATCCATATAGAGTATACTCCCTCCGTCCCGGAATATTCGTCCAGTTTTGACTTTTGGAACTGTTCATCGAAGCACTTTGACTCACTAAATTCTCTCAATGTGTAAGCCTAAATATAGTCATGTGTGATCTTGTTTGATTTATCTAAACATATAGATTATTAATATATAATTTCTATAAGTTTTTAATATACAAATTACAAGATAAAATGGATTAAAGAAATGTATTTGATGGTGTGTAAAAATGAATTATATTTCAATGTCTATATAATAAGTATGAAACTAAATACTATTAAAGAATTTTCCATTCAAATGAAATAATTATAAGTAACAATAGCTATTCAGAAGCAATGACCATATCGAAGAAGAAGGTTACCCTTATAATTTTTCGAAGAAGAAACTTATATTACTTTATTATTTTTATAAACTAATAAAATAATTATTAAGATTAAAATACTTAAATGGTAAAATGCATATTGGTATAATACTTAGAAAATACTTGAAATTTAATTGTCATTAAATGTAATAATAATGAAATTTAATTCATTTATATAAATAAATATAATCAAATTAATATCATGTAAACTTATGAACAAATATAAAACTTATTTCTATGTGAAGTGAATATTTTATTTATTATTCTAATTTTTTTTATAAATGAGAGAAGTTGATAATTTAGATATATTAGGTGTTTAAAAAATGCGGATAAATATGGCATATGTTAGTTTCTTAGCGATCTAAGTATCATTTTTAAATATAAAGAATTAATGATTCTAAATATATACTACTTGATAAAGTAGTATAATAAAAGGTTTATTAAATATACATATTTGTTTTTTAAATATATGTTTTATTAAATATATACTTAGTGATCTAATTATCATTTTTATATATAAAGAATTAATTATGATTCTTTATTAAACACTATTTGCATTTTAAATTTATATTTTATATATATATATATATATATATATATATATATATATATATATATATATATATATATATATATATATATATATAACAATAAGTGACTTCTTTATATCAAATACTTCGTATAAATTTAAAAAATATGAAAATTTATAGAGATGGAGAGAAAATCTTGTTTATTATAGAAAATGTTTATTATATATTAAGAGAAATCTTTATTAATTTTAAGTTCAGTAGTTGATATATTTTTAAACAATAATTATATTTATTTTGTGTTAAATACGTTTATAATTATAAGTAGATCAAATTGTTATCAATAAATGCTAAACTTTTAATCTTGTTTTAATTTTTTTACTTTCAATTTACTTTTCTATAATAAAATGATTTTCTTTCCTTTTTATTCTATTGACTAATTGTTTTAATAACTTCTAAAAATTCTTTTTTTGTTTTAATTTGTTTTGCTTTTAATTCTATTGACTAATTTTTTAAATATAATTTTGTTGATCATTTGACAAATAACGTATATTTTTAGATCTTCAGATGAATTGTATGATTTATATTTGACATGGTTACAACATTTTATTTTTTAAAAGATATTCATATGCCTAAAAGTTTGTTTGAAAATTTATAATTTATTAAATCCGAGCCAGGTATTAAAAAATGTTCACGTATACTTGTGATAAAATAAAATTTTATTAAAGTTTACAATTTCTATTAATTCTAAATTTGGATTCATGAATTCAAAATAATTAATTATCATTTTTTAAAAGCATAGTATAAAAGGTGAAATAATTGAAGATGAAAGGAGAAGGAGATGAAATACTAAAAAAAAATCTTTAAAGATTTCCACATGTCATTTTCTCAAGTTTGACACATGTCATTCTCTTAGAGACCAAACTCTTGAATTTATATATAAAAGATGTGAAACATAAACAATAGTGGTATATTTCATCTACTGTGAATTACTATGTAAAATTTAAATGAAAAAAATAAACAATTTTAATTTATATATCACTTCTAAATTAAAAATATTTCTTGGATCGGTCTGTTAAAATTTCAGTGAGCCGAGAATAACGGTCAGAGTGTCA